CTCTCTGTCTGTCTGGCAAGCGCACGCGCCCTATAGCAAAAACCTCTCCAAAAAAAGAAAAAAGAAAGAAAGAAAAATAAAAAGCATTCATCTTGCTAATAAATACTCTCATGGAAATAAAATGCCAGACACTTAAGAGAGTGATATTTTTCCAGCCTGATGTGCATCTTTTTTAGTCTACATGGAAAATTCAAAAAGTTTTTGGAAAAAAATGGAATTAAACTACAAGTTATTTGGGTGCAACATTTATTTTAATCTACACAGTATTTTTAAAATACAGATTTTTCATGAATCTTTTCATATTTTTAAAAAGTGAGATATAATTCATATGCCATAAAATTCACCCTTTTAAAGTACACAATCCAGTAGTTTTCAGTATGTTCACAAAGGCATACAACCATCACTATCTAAGAAGATTTTCATCACCCCAAAATAAAACACCATAAACCATTAGCAGTCACTCTCCATTCAATCTTCTCCCCACAACCTGGTAATCACTAATATACTTTCTGACTCTTTGGATTTGCCTATTCTGAACATTTCTTATAAACAGAATCATACAATTATGTGGCATCTTCTGGCTTCTTTCAGTTATAGCATTTTCAGGGGTCATCCAAGTATTTCATTTCTTTTTTATGTCTGAATACCATTTCATTGTAGGGATATACATTTTATTTATCCATTCACCAGTTGATGGACATTTGTGGTGATGGGCTCATTTTTGAGTGAGTGCATTTGGCCTCTAAAACTAACAAGACAAACAGTCTAGGTTTGGCTGCTGCCAAAAAATCCACTGGTTTCTTGGAATCCTGAATCTACATATCCTAATTGCTTGGGCCTAACTCTAAGCTGAAACCTGACACTGGACTTTTTCAGCCTCAGCAACATGAGATTATGCCAAAAAAAAAAAAAAAAAATCACTGTTCAAGTGATTCATAAGGAATTCTGCCTCAGAAACAAAGATTTGCAACATCCCTCTGGGACCATAAATTATGAAAACATCATGGATGCTGGCTGTACTGGCTGGATCATTTGCAGATGCTCATAAAAAGGGCTTATTTTCTGAAGGATCACCTGAAGTTGACTATTCTGATGCAGAGATCAATTCATTCATGACATGATTCTTGCTGAAAGCTTCGAATTAAGGAAGACCATGTAGTCACAGGAGTGTCACCCAGTCTTGACCCCTCTTGAATGTCCACCTGCTGTTGACTTGTTATCTTCAGATCAGCTGAAGTTTGTAACAATAGACCAATTCCTGGTCTATGATATATCTTTCTGATTAGTTATATACAAATGTTTTTCCATAAAAATGCTTTTGTCTTTGTGTGTGTGTGTGTGTGTGTTTTCTAAGCAAAAGAGAGTAAAAAATTACTAGGAAAAATGTAAAGTTGTGATTCCTAAATTGGACATTACTAACTATAACAACAAAGGAAAAAACACAATTTCAGAATGTATTAATGATTTCTGTTTTTCAGAATTGCTCTTGAAGTTTCCCTTCCTCCCAAAATATACACAGAAATCCTAACGTGGATGAAGTAATACTATAGATAAGCAACACTGTTTGAAACTGCCTTCAGGCAGTGCCTCTCAAACCGAGAACTAACTGCCTTCAGGCAGTGCCTCTCAAACCGAGAACTAAATTGATTCATTTGAACTGAACTGGCAACCCTAGAGTGGGAGACCCCATGGCCACATTAGGGACCCTGCTAACCTATTGCTATGTAAACGGACCAAATATAACTGCAGTGTATTAGCCTAAATTGGCCCCCACATTGTTCACAGCAATCTAGGATCTTTAGTCCAAAGTCCTCCCAAATTCTCACATATCCAACTGCCTTAAATATAATCCAAATCAATATATTTTTGGCAAGTTAGAACCTACATACTTTGCAAACCCCGTGAAACTACACCCAACATCTGCTAACTATAGATAAGACATACCCTTTAAATATAATAAATGCCCAGCTGCTGCTTCCCTCTGAGCTCTCTGACCAGACTCCCTACTTTACTGTTAAGCATCAGCTAAACACATAAGCCCTCTTTCTGATTCCCTATTCTCCCTTGGTAGGTACCTTGTCCTAATCCCCTTCTGGGTGGTGGTCCATGTTACCTACTATCTCTGCTGGGAGGAACTTTCCTTCTTTAACAACCATTTCAAGTGCCACCCAATAAAGCTTGTATGTTACTATTTCTTATGTTTCTTTTCCTGATTAAACTCTAAATCCTCGAATTTATTACACCTGTTCTACCTTTCTATTTCATGTCCTGTTTAGGTTATCCTAACAATCATAAGTTCTTTGTTTCAAGGGGTATCACATGTACTCTCTGGGATTGTGCTTCTTTTTTTTCTTTCTTTTTTTTTTTGGAGAGGTTTTTTTTGCTATAGGGCGCATGCGCTCGCCAGCCAGACAGAGAGAGACAGAGAGACAGAAAGCAAGAAATCACCCCCCAGGTTGGATGGTCACGCCGCAATCCCTTCTCCTCCATTCTCCTCTCAGGATCTTGGGCACGCACACACACACGCGCCCGGTGTGAGTTTAAGCTGCCAAGGCTGGGACGTGAACCACGGTCGACTACGTGGGAGTCCAGTGACATAGCCATTATGCTAACTGCTGGTCCCTGGGATTGTGCTTCTTGTAAATGCACTTAATTATGGCACTGCCTGAGCCCTGGAAAGCATCCAGGTATGTTTTAAAATATTGCACAGAGTTATGCTGTATCTAAATTGATGCCTTGAGATGGAAAACAAAAGGGTAATACAGAAACTTAAGAAAGGAGCCACATACCTACCTCCGAACTTTATAGCTCAATATGGCATTTGTTTCAACAGGCTATAATGAAGCATGAGTACCTTCATTTTGAATCTGACTCTGTTGTCATTTCTGTTTCCATGTAACTTGACCCATATGTCTCCTACAAATTCCTCACTGAATGTTTATTACCAGTAGAAAAACGCTGCCATCCATTCCTGTCCTCCTAACCAAGTACTTATCATCAGCAGATCCAGCCAATTATAACTGTCCTGCCAATTATAACTGTCCTTCCTGATAACTTTTTTTTTCTTTTTTTTGCTTTTGTTAGCTGCTTTTGCATAACCCAAGGCCTGTACTTTCTTAGATGAGTAGTTTTTCCTTTGTGGTTTTTGCCTTTATAAACCTTCCTCCCCCCTGCTTAAGGGCTGCAAGGTTTTGGAGCGACAAGTCCTCTTGCAGTCACTAGCTTAATAAATGGCTCTTTTAATTTGGCTAAAACTGGATGTCCTCTTATTCTTGCACTGATTTGAATACAAAAGTATCAAGGATCTCTGGAGGATAAAACTAGTGCCAATAGGTACAGGCTGGCATCAACCTGCTGTGGGGGTTCTATTGATAATTTTTGCTGTGATGCATGCTTGGCCAAGGTCCAAGGTCCAAGGAAGATGACTAAGTAGAAGAGAGTCAACGTAGCAGGCTTGGTATGGCTATCCTAAGATTTCAGGAGTGTTTTCACTATTCCCTGGTGATAATGGTGGCTCACAGTGCCCAAATGATTTCTGTATACACAATAGGTTATGTTATACTGAACATCTGCTTTCCTTCTGAGAGTCTTGACTTTTTATACTTATTAGGCAGAAGGTTCCTATGTGACTAGCTCCCAGTTAAAATCTTAGGCAGTAATTTTTCTCTCTGGGGAAAGAACATATTTTTTGCTGCAGAAGTCACTCTGTGTGACTTCTCATGGGAGAAGAAACTTGCATATGGATTCCTTCAAATTCCACCTGTGTGTCTTCCCCTTATGATCCATTCGTACATTCTTAGTACACTGCTATAATACATCTTAGCCAACAGTAGTACAACTATATGCTGACTCCTATAAGCCCTTCCAGCGAATCTCTGAATGTGGGTGTGGTCTTGGGAATCCCCAACGCATTCCCATATGAATTCCTTCATGTTATCTAAGCTGTTAACAAAATCAAATGCCTTCCCATATTCCATACATATGTAAGGTTTCTAACCAATATGAATTACTTCTTGTTCTCCATGGAACCTAAGGTTCTTCCAATACTCCGCATATTCAAAGGGCTTGTTATCAGTATGGATTCTGATAATACGTAGTAAGTTATCCACACACTCTAAATGATTACTCATAGTCCTAAGGGTCTCTCATGGTACAAATTTTATGGTGTCAAGTGAGTTGTCCACATACTCTAAAGACATTTCTATTACATTCATAGCACTTCTTATGAAAGTGGTTTATTTCTAGTGTATTTTAAGGTCTCTGAAAAACCTAAGGCAGGGACCAGTAGATGGTATATTGGCTATATTGCTGTTTAAGGTCTCTGTGAAAACCTAAAGTAGGAACCAGCAGATGGCAGATTGGCTACATCGCTGGACTCCCATGTAGTTGACTACGATTTCAGTCCCAGACCCGGTGGCTTAAACTCACACCAGGCGCATGTGCGTGCGTGCCCAAGATCCCGAGAGGAGAATGGAGGAGAAGGGATTATGGAGTGGCCATCCCCCCTAGGGGTGATTTGTCGCTTTTTGTTTCTCTTTCTGGTGAGTGTACGCACCCTATAGCCAAAACCTCTCCAAAACAAAACAAAACAAAACAAAAAACCTAAGGCATTCTTCATATTTTGGACATTAAGGTTTCACAACAGTAGGAATTTCCAATGTGTATGTCATTTTTTATAAATACCAAAGGCCTTCCCATATTCCACATATTCATAGACTTTTCTCGATAAAATACATTCTGTCATCATGTACAAAATCTGAACCACAATCAAAAGCATTTCCAAATTTCTTCACTAATGGAACATTTCTTATAAATTCCCTGTGCAAGAAATTTATGCTTTTTATACTTGGTTATATTTTCCGTAATTATTTTCATTTAACTAAAATGTCCCTCTTGAAGTTCTTGCCTTAACTGTGCCAGTCATTTCTGAAAATGGAGTTCTTGAGGTCAAGAATTTAATTTCTTTCCATTGGCTCAAATTAGGAATCTTTTTTTTTTTCTTAAAAATGTTTTTGTCTCACATCAGGACTCCAAATCTGAAATAACAGAAGAAAGAAAACAAATTTGTTTATTTACCCTTTACCAAAAAACAGAGTTGTTATTAAAGACAATTTGGGTGTTGATCAGATTCAACTGGGAAAGTTGTTGTAAGTACTATGTATTAAAATCAACCCAGATAAACTAAATCAGCATCTATAAGCTAGGTTTCAAACATCCATATTGTTAATGTCTCTGCCATATAATACCAATGCAAATTCAGATTTCCAAGTTGCAGAAAGCATTGCATAACTGCTGAATTTTCTCTCATCTATGGCAAGGAAGGTACAAGATTAGTTCTGGCTATTTTGTGCCAGGAATAAGTAAGCTTTCAAATACTAATTGAGCATGTTCATAGGACATAAACCCCACCAGAAGTAAAGTAAGAGGCCAGCATTCCAACATTATCAAAATCAAAATTTAAAATAAAACCTTTTAGCCAGAACTGCCATCTTCCAATAATTAACCAAAACCCAATTATATGTTATCTACACCTTTTAGAAAACATGGAGTGGTTCCTTTGGCAACATACATGTGAATCTACAAAAGAGAGGTGATATTATAGACATCAAGGGAATGGCTATTGTTCAAAAAGGAATGCCCCACAAATGTTACCATGGCAAAACTGGAAGAGTCTACAATGTCACCGGGCATGCTGCTGCATTGTTGTAAACAAACAAGTTAAGAGCAAGATTCTTGCCAAGAGAATTAAAGTGAGTATTGAGCATATTAAGCATTCTAAGAGCAGAGATAGCTTCCTAAAACATGTGAAGGAAAATTATCAGAAAAATAAGGAAGCCAGAGAAAGGTACCTGGATTCAACTGAAAGTGCCAGCCTGCTCCACCCAGAGAAGCACACTTTGTCAGGACCAACGGAAAGGAGTCTGAGCTTCTGGAACCTATCCCAGATAAATTCATGGCATGATGGATGTTAAAAATAAACTAATCTATGGTCTATACAAATGTTTTCCTCAATTGAGTAGAATTGTGTTCCCTCCTCAAAGCTAATTTAATTGGGCTCATTTTGTGACATCTTTATTCAAATTCAGTTTTTTTTTTAACCTGAATGATGTTAAGTGGCTTATTATGAAACAAATGAAATTCAGTTAGCTAGAAAAGAAAATTTAAAACAAAATAAAAACTTTTTTTTAGAGAGTTTTTTTTTTGTTTTTTTTTGTTTTTTTTTTTTAAATAGGGCACATGCGCTCGCCAGAAATACAGACAGGAAGCAAGAAATTACCCTCGGGGGGATGGCCATGCCACAATCCCTTCTCCTCCAGTCTCCTTTCGGAATTTTGGGCATGTACGTAAGCACACACACATGCCCAGAGTGAGTTTTAAGCCACCAGGTCTGGGACTTGATCCACAGTTGACTACATTGGAGTCCAGCAACATAACCATTATGCCATTTGCTGATCCCAAAATAAAAACATTTTGAGGGCCAGACTGTGACATGGTAGTTAAGGCACCTGGATCCCATATGGCTGGCTGTGCAGATCAAGTGCCAGACCTTGTGTTGAAAGACAAGACGGGTGGGTGCATGCCCAGAATCCTGAGAGAAGAATGGAGAAGAGCTTGCAGCATGGCCATTCCCCCTGAGGGGTGCTTTTCATTTTCCCTCTCTGTGTCTCTCTCTTTCTTTACAGTGAATACACATGCTCTAGACGGGGAAAAAAAAATTTGTACCATCTTGTGGTATGGCAGTTAAGGAATTAGATCCTATACAGCCAACTGCATGGTTCAAGACCGAGACCCAGCAGCTTGAGAAACATGCTGTGTGTGTGTGTGTGTATGTGTGTGTGTGTGTGTGTGTGTGTGTGTGTGTGTGTACCCAAAATCTTGAACGGAGGAGCAGGGATTGTGGTATGACCATTCCCCATGGGGAAGGAGAGTGTGCCTTCTCTGTCTTTTTTTCTTAGTGAGTGCATAGGTCCTCTGGAATTTTTTTTTTAATTATAAACATATTTTTAATAAGTAAAAAAAAAATCTAATGAGACTAAAAAAGGAGATGGTCAGGAAAACACAACTGTTACTAATTCAAATGACTGGTCTGGGGAAAGAAAGGTACAAAGTAAGCCTGGCACATATTACATCACAAAGCAAAAATTGTTTCAAAGATTACTATATTTATTTGAACATATACATTAATCAATATTAAAATATTAATTAGGCAATCTCCTAATAACAAAAACATTTTTGGGATACCTGTGCAGGTACTGATTCTGGGTAATATGGAGTAAACATACTGTAATTTTCTGAGGTCAGGAGTCTATGCATAGTTGGCTGGGACTTCTAATTCAGAATCTTTGACATGTCTGCAATCAAAGTACACACAAGAGTAGAGTCTATTCTGAAGGCTTAACTGGGGCAGAATGCAATTCTAAGTACACATGCTTGTTGGTAGCACTCAGTTTTTTACGGGCTGTTAAACTATGGACCTCTGTTTTTTGCCGGCTCTTGGCCAGAGGCTACCTACCCTTAGTTACTTGCCACATGAACCTCCCTCATATGATTGCTCCCTTTATAAAAGCCTGTAAGGGAGAAAGTTTACTGGCAGGACTATTCTCACAATCATATATAATGTAATCATGGAAGTGACACCTTATTACCTTTGCTATATTTTATTAGTTAGAAAGAAGAGCAGTCACAAGCCCTGACCACACACAAAGGGAAATGACAGACAAGTGACAAGCAATAGAGATAATTAGGGGGCATCCTAGAGTCAGTCCCCCTACCACACGCTAATTAAACAACAGAGAATGTCAAAATAGATTTTTTTTTTAAATTAAAGATCCAATTTGGGCCAGTCCAATGGCCTAGTTGGTTAAGGGAACAAGACCTCACATAGCCAACAAGGTTTAAATCCTAGCTCCCGGAGCTTGAAAAACATGCCAGGCACATATGTATACATGAGCAAAATCTCAACAGGATGGAAAAATGAAGAAAAAGGGACTGTGGTGTGACCATGCCCCCTAGAGGGATGAATTCCCCCTCTCCCTTTGTCTCTCTCTCTGGTGATTAAAAAAAAATGACCAAATTACACTGTCTGTGAAAAACTAATTTCAAATATAGTTAAGGTAAAAGGACAGAAAGGACAGAAAAAGAATATCTTGAAATAAGTAATCAAAGAAAGGTAAAGTTGGGCATCGCACATAGTGTGGTGTATAAATGTCATGCAGAGGAAGCCAGATCCCATATGGTTGACCAACATAAGTCCCAGTTCCAGCACCTTGAAAAACACATGGCACATGCGCCCATGTGCCCAGGATCCTGACAGAATAGAAGACTGGAGGATAAAGGACTACAGCATGACTAGATACCACTGGGGATTACTTTCTCTTTCTCTCTCTCTTTCTTGCACAAGCACTTTCTTCCATGAACAAAGTAAACTCTACCCCCTCTACTGGCCCCAAATAAAATTAACTTAAAAAAAAAAAAAGAAAAGAATTGAAATCATGGAAGGAAAAATGCTGGTCCCTGTTCAGATACTTCTATATCAGCTAAACTTGCTATTGAAAGTAGTTAGATCAATTAAGATATTTTGTTAATTAATAAAACAGGGGAGAAAAAAAATAAATGGAAAGCAACTGCATATACCAGAGATAGAGTGGAAGGAGGGTGGGATATGGCATAGAATGAGAAATGGGGGGGGGGGGACACACATATTAAACAAGAAATGGAAAATTATTTGTGATGATAACATGTATGACTAAGCCACTAATATACATATATATATATATATATATATATACGCAAAACAAGAAATGAAAAATTATTTGCGATGATAACATGTATGACTAAGACACTATACAGTGTATTCTGGATGGGAAACTGCATCTTGTATAATGTGATGATGTTCAATGAATGAATGCAAAATAAATAATTAATAAAAAAAAGAAATAAACACACACACACACACACACCAGGCACATGTACACATGTGACTAAATTCCCAAAAGAAGGAGAGATAGAAAAGAAGGGACTGCAATATGACCACTCCCCATGGGGGCTGGGTGTGCGTGGGTGGGTGCTTTCTCCCTTTCTCTCTCTCTGGCAAAGTACACATGCCTCCCAGGGAAAAACATTAGAGAAAAACTCTAGATCTAGATGGTTTTGGTAGAAAATTTTACCACATTGAAGGAAAAAATAGAATAGTTTACATCTTGAGGCCCATGTTACCCTAATGGCAAAGTATGATAAAGGTATTATAAGAAATGAAAGACCATGGGAACCAGCAGTTAGCATAATGGCTATGTCGCTGGACTCCCACGTAGTTGACCGCGGTTCGCGTCCCGGACCCGGTGGCTTAAAACTCATGCCAGGCACGTGTGCGTGCGTGCCCAAGATCCCGAGAGGAGAATGGAGGAGAAGGGATCGCGGCGTGACCATCCCCCCTGGGGGGTGATTTCTCGCTTTCTGTCTCTATGTCTCTGTCTGTCTGGCGAGCGCACGCGCCCTGTAGCGAAAACCTCTCCAAAAAAAAAAAGAAATGAAAGACCAAAAGTCTCATGCAGAAAAAATTTTTAAATGTTGGCAAATATAATCTGGAAATACATAAAAAGGAAATATAAAATGACCCACCGATGCTAGACTGACTTAACAGTCAAAGACTACTCCATTTTATTTATTTTACAGGAATAAAGGATAAAAAAGAAAAATATGATTGATAACTTTAACATATTCAGGAAAGGGAACCAGCAGTTAGCGTAAAGGCTATGTCACTGGACTCCCATGTAGTCGACCGCAGTTCACGTCCCGGACCCGGTGG